GTAGAAGGAGTTTCAGTTCATAGCGGCTCACATTACGATCCCGCCAGGAAACGGTCAGATCGAGCTCAAAATTTTAGCATTTATCCCAGGTTCGTTCTTTTCTGTTATCAGGCTCCGCAATAGCAGAAATGAAAAAGTAGGAGTAGGAGTAGGATTTTGAGGTCAGTTATGCTGGAATTGCGACAGTGTACGTGTCGGATTTGGTTCAGGTGTCGTGGGAGAAGTGGTTGGATGGGGGGTCATTGAGCCTGTGGTAGCTGCCAGCGTTTGACGTAAAATTGAGTTCAATTGTGAAAGTAGTTTGAGGAAGCGCAGTTGTACAGTTGATTGGAACTTTGATAAGGTTTCGGAAATTTTCGGTAAATTCTTTTGCTCCTGTAGAGGTCTCAGGAGTGCAACAGAAACGGCGATGGACAGAGAACCGAATAATTGGTGATGTTTCTTTCGCTTCGATTAGTCGGCGATTTTAGTCATAAGCAGACCCTGTGGATAGCATCACCACAGTCGTAATACGGCCTTGACAGTTTCCATTGATCTGCAGTAAGGGTCTATTAGCAAAACAACTTCGGATATCTTTGCCTCATGCTCAAAAGTACTGTTATTTCTAGTTATTTTAGCTAATGCAAGCATGGTGTATATCTGTATGTGAAAATAGGTGAGTTTTCGTTTATGTTATATGTCAGAAAGTGACGAGCACTATGTGAAAGGTGCATGGTGAGAAACAAAATGAAGATGCAAAGTTAGCAGATTGAACGTTCAGTTTGAAGTATCTTATTAGATAGAAATATAGTGTGTATCTGGATTCTCGCGAGAAAGTATACCTAGACTGTGATTTACTGTGGAATTATGCAAACAATAAGAACTCTATCTATCATTTCACTGTCATTTAAATATGAAAAGCATTACTATAATTGATCTTACCACCAGTAGTGACCGATGCACCGGATGCGCTGGTAACAGGATTACCAGCTTGATTGGTAGCGACAGTAACAGGATTACCAGCTGGATTGGTAGCAACAGTAACAGGATTACCAGCTTGATTGGTAGCGACACTAACAGGATTACCAGCTTGATTGGTAGCGACACTAACAGGATTACCAGCTTGATTGGTAGCAACAGTAGCAGGATTACCAGCTTGATTGGTAGCGACAGTAACAGGATTACCAGCTTGATTGGTAGCGACAGTAACAGGATTACCAGCGTGATTGGTAGCGACAGTAGCAGGCTTACCAGCGG